CTGATCGGTCAGGAGAGTTACATAAAAATTGATAAAGCAATGAAGCATCTCAAATGTGATCTTTTTGGGTAAGTTTTGCTTTTGTAGGCATGTGTTTCAAAACTCAATAATGGGTAAAGTTGGCTTAGAGAGGGCTTGTAGAGGCTGTTTTAAGTCTAGGCTGCTTTCTGCATGACCCGTGATGTTGAATCAAAACTCTCTAATCTGAAATACTATAAAGAGGAACGTCTGCTTTTTGTAGTTTATACTGAAGATATGTAAACAGCAGATCATCTGATATATATCATGAAGTGGATCTGTTGGTACTCTTCTCTGAATATTTACAGGGCAAAAGATCAGAGCTATGATATTCTTATCTTCTCTTGGCAGAGAAGTACTGAAATAGAAGTGTTCCTTGGTAGAGGCCTATATAAACAAAACAAATTTCTGTCAGGAATGACACTGGTACAAATCTGCTTTGGGTAGGGAGCCACTAGATGAATTCTTAAGGCTCTTTTAATTCCAGATACTCTAGATGAAGTTTTGTAAACTTTTTAACCCTGCCCTTGAGAAATGTTTTACCTGAACATCAGTAAGCTTTCAGACACTGTTGATGTATCAATGCTGTTTGATTTAACTATTTTATCTGTTACAATACTTGCCAAAACTATCCCAGGTTCCTCTGCAGAGTCTTTTAAGGAGGAGATACATGCTTGCTAAGATTCTCCGGTGGCTACTGGAGACATACCTAGAGAAAACTGTGTCTCAGACTAGGCATAAGATTGGACATCACGGTATTTCTGTGGTGATTATGCTTGTTACCTGGTTTCAATATAGCTCATAATCAGTTCTTCCCCTAGTGACAGACAATATTTCAATTTTTCTCCAAGATGGCTAGGCTAGAAAAGAACTTTGTCTCTTAGCCCTGACTCTCATGCATTTGGACTTTGACAGGCAATATGTGATAGTAATTTTGCTGGACTTAAGGATAGCAATATGATTGATGGCTAAAAAGACACAAGAAAAATAAGGATTTCTGTCACTGACCTTCCAGTGACTTTCTTGAAAGAGAGAGTAATAAGTCAGGCTGCACGTGTAGAGTATGTATTAACTTACACTTTGTAGTACCTTTGAGTAAATATTTCTAGGCAATTACATGACAGGGAAAATTATTTTACAGTTTTGCTTTTGATGGGAAGGTTGCTGCTTTTAGTTTTCTTATTATTGTTATAATAATTGTGAAACATTTCTGTTCAGCATTTCCACAGATCAGTGTTTTTCCAAGAGTTCACAGAGATACTTAGAACAAACTCCTTCTCCGTTCTGCCTTCTTTCCTCATTTTGGTTATTGTCCTACTCCATAAATGCTTTTGCTGACCAGGTCCTATGTAACCATCTTTGAACCTAGTTCTTCCAGGCTAGTGAAAGAGAATCCTAGAATCATGCCAGCACCCTTTGTCTGGTTTGCCACTGTTCAGGTGAGCACAGTGCATCTTGCTGAATGCAGTATTCCCTGGGAAAAAGGAGTCTTGAAGTCACTTTTATCACTGGACAAGCTTTTAGTGTAAACTAAAAGAGTGTGATTGTACTAAAATACAAAAGTTAAGAAACCAGTTGTGCTTTGTGAAGATGCAGAATGTTAGAGCATAGTTACATAGTTCACCACACAGTCATGCTGCTTTATTGAGGTTCTGTCTTCTGCTGAACTGCTTGTCATGGTAGTCATGCTACCTCCTGGGAAACTTCACACAGGTCCTAGATCTGTGATCTGGATTTTAGGACTTCTTACACATTTTATGGTTCATGGTTTACCTATTTTATGGTTTAGGGTAAGAGTTTCTCTTTATATCCTACTTTCTCAACTATGAATGTAAAAAATTAACAGCCTTAGTGTTTGGCCTTACCCTTACTAAAATATTTCTTTTTTTTTTTTCTTTTTTTTTTCTTTTCTTCCCTGAATGAAAATACTCCTCAAGGTATTAAAACAGTAGTATGCAGTTAATAATTTATAACATGCATGTTATATGCCACTCCTTATGCAAAAAGGTGAAACATTAAATGTACTGACTTATGAGTACAATAAATTGTACTTATATAATAGATAATAATTAATACAATTAATAATTATATAAGTACAATAATGTACTTACAGAAGCTATTTAATTCCAAATAGTCTCGGAGGGCAGTGTATTTGGAGTAAAAAAGTTCATAAACATGGCTTAGCAACTAGGGTACAAGGGTAGAGCTATCATGGTTTTCTGTGGGCATCCATGAAATAAAATAGTGTAAAATATAAAGAAAATTCTGCCAAGGTAATGTTCCTGAAGCACTTATGCTCTCTTCAGGAAAGCTGCTGTCTTAACTGCCATTGTAAGAGGATTTGAGATATGTCTGTGCTTAAGTTCTCTCAGAGGTTCATCTTAGCACCTTTACTGGCCAGCACATGCTGACAGAAGAGTTTAATTCTAGCAGCCATAACCACTTTTCCTCTAAACCATGATCTGAAGTGATGAATTTGTTGTCATTTATATAATAATGACAAGAATCTCCCTTCAGCCCCAAGTATCCTTCATTTGCCTTCATCCCCAAGAATCTCCCTTCATCCCAACTCTGGGGATGGATTGGTTGATGTGTGGTTGAGGGGCTGATTCTGATGATACTGGACATAAACTCTTCTAGGGTCATACCCAGAAAGAGAAGAAGGGTGGGGAGTAAACAGGGAAAAAATCTAACTTTACCACAACCTGTTTGTGTAAGTTGCACAATACTCTTAGGGAAATGATAGGAAAAGTGAGAGTCAGGGGGTGAGACAGGCATAATTGCATAGTCTGATAAATTTGGAAGTCAAAAGCAGTGAGTGATGAGAGCAACAGCTGTTGTGAACAGGATGAGTGAGTATCATCATCTAAGAATCATGATTTTGAAACTCACCAGGAAGCTCTGAGCCCAGGAATAAGAGATCGATCTCTGAGTTCGCTTCTTACGTGTCTTTATGGAGAAATTAAGCTTAAAAAGAAATAATCTCTCTTGCAGTGTTGATTTCCTTTTTGCACTTAATATAAGTAGATTTAAGTTCAAAATATGAACTTAAATGTCCATTAGTGCAGCTATAATAAACATTAATCTGTTTATTCCTTAAGCAGCATGTTTCCTAGAGCTATTCCTCTTGCTCCTAACTCCACACTTTTTCATGTCAATCAAATTATCAGTAAAAATAATCACAAATTCTTTTAGAAACTAATTATGTATATGCAACTTAAAACAGTTTACCTCTTTGCTAACTTTATCTTCAAGATTTTTAACTGCAGTCAATCCAGCATGCTTCTGGCTCCATTAATTAGGTTTAGAATTCTTTACAAAGTATTAAGACGTAGAACTCAATGATATTCTGCTGCCTCGCAAACAAGACCTATAAAATGGAGTAACATTCTGTCTTCAGATGCATTGGACTTTGTCCACTGCCTACTCTAAAAGCTTTACCTCCTTAATTTCATATCTGCTCAGTTCCTCAGTTGGCACAGTGGGCTCCCCAAGTGATCTTGTTTTTAGTACTGGAGTATGTGCTGGAACCAGGTTGAATACAGAGCTGATAAAATGTGGACAAAAATTACATGAAGCAGACTGGAGGGTGGGATGGATACTTTTGAAATCTGTTACATGAACTCACTTCTTTCCTGAGAACATGAAGGGAACAGAGTGTAATTCTTCCAATAGAGAGTGTAAAAAATGAAGGCTTGCAAGATGTGATGCACGTTGCAAGGAAGCAAACTATTTCAAGCAGCAAGGCAATTTTTACATGTTACTACAGCAGAGATAAAAATTTATATTAACATGTATATTAACATAATGGTTAATTTCTGTACTAATGTGTGTAATTTTATTTGTTTGCTATATATTTGCATTTCTGCCGCATTGATGGAAATTAAAGGAACATTTGCAATGAAAGGAGAAAAACTAGTCTATGAATCTATATCATACTGTGGCTTATTAAATTGAACTGTGTGGAATCTACATTGCTGATTTGAACTGTTTCATGAAAAGAGAACCATTATCTCCTCTCTAGGTAGATAGTTAACTCCTTTTGATTTAAACAACTGCATTGGGAGAAGAGTATACAGTGTGTTTCTGGGAAGTTCACACCCACAGGGTTGCACTTTGTTTCTGCAGTCTGGATAGTTAAGAAAAAGTGCTGTTCTGAAAAAGAAAGTGAAAGCAAAAGCTAAAGCTTGGCATTTTCTGTATTTGTTTTTTAAAGTAATTTTCAAATGCTTGTGTCTGTATTGCATTTTACGTGTAATGCTATTATTTCAGAACCTGTCCTGTACCCCCCTACGCTTTTTCTTGTGCAGGGGGAGGTCTTGGGATAAAATTTTAGCTGGTTGATTTATAAACACCTAAAAAAATCCGTAATTTATGTGCAAAGTGCTGGAACATCCTGAGCCAAAGTGATGTCACTGGATAAGTCCTTCCAAGGTGGCTTAAGGTGGAGAGAAGACAAGGCAGTTCTAAAGGAGAGAGAAAAGAATGAGGACAATAACTGTAACTAAAGCTTCTTCTTCAGCATTAGTTCCTTTCAATTGCTGATGGTCAGTAGAAATGTTTTCTCAAGCAAAATGCCCTCGGTTGTTGATTTTATGCATTCAGCTTTCTATCTTACAAATCAACAAAGCAACACCTTCCTTTTGTTTTGGATATTTTTATTTTTTTTCCCTTAAACACAGTTACTTTTTCATTCATGTCTTTCATAGCCACAGGAATCCGTTCAAAGTAGGGATAGCTTGTCTGGTTTTCTTTCCTGTATATTCATACCTCACTTCATCAAGTCAGTATGCTTCTGTGTGTTGGGAGAGACTGCAAGTTGCTGGTTGTGTATAAGGTTGATTTTTATGTCATTTAAGTGGGATGAGTTTATCATGTTTTTCTGCATTTTAATTTCATTTTGGAAAAACAGGAAGTTGTTTATGCCCCATTGTGAATATCTTCTGAAAACCTATTTAATACTAACTTTTTTTATTGTGCAGAGCTGGTTATTTGCCTCAGAATATTCCTTTGGAGATTATGAAGTATCTTTCAGAGGAAAAAGATTTCCTGCCTTGGCATGCTGCCAGCCGAGCTCTTTATCCTCTAGATAAATTGCTGGACCGTACAGAAAACTACAATATCTTCAATGTAAGAGACAGTCTTTCTCTCTTTCTTCCTCTAGTTCTTCCTTTCTTTCCCTCACTCTCTCCATCTGTCTTTTCTTCCTGCCTTTCTTCCTTTCGCCTCTTACTCTCTCATATTATTGCCAAGATTTGAACTGTTCCCCAGTCAGATACTGTAAATGACCTAGGGATATTAATTTCCTTCCTAATTACTCTTCATTTAAACATAGCAATTATCAAGCTTTGGTTCATTTGCATTTGAACAGTGATAACTGTTGTTTGAGGCATATATGACTAGGGGAAGGAAAGGTAATTATCCCTCATGTAAAATGTTATGACAAATAAAGTATTTCACTTAAAAGAGTCAAAGTACTCTATTTCCAGATTTTCTCTTTTTAGGAGCCCCACAGTGATACTTAGGTGGGTGCCCAAGATCAGCAAGAACAGCAAATATAGGCACAACTGAACCTGCAACTAAAGCAAAGATTTGTAGTCATTATTTCATCCCAAAATCCATGGTGAATTCAATGCAGTTACCTTAATTAACAAGAATTAGATCACCGTTGAGTCAAAAGCCCATTCATAATTGTGTCCAAAGGGATAGCAGTAATAGCTTGCAAAAGATAATTAAGATAGACATGGCAAATATTTTAACATTTACCTGTAGCTGCACTGAAGCATGGTTTATGAAGTACACAGGATTTCACTGGAGCCAATGACAATTACAAACTCTTGGGGTTTTTATTCACTATGAATTTTATGTAGTCTACATATTTTCAACAGCCAGCATACGGTAACTTTATGTAATGTTGTAAAGCCTTCAAATAAAGGAGGTTTTTAAAGCCTGAAATGCCTAAGGATGCTTTTTTCTTCTTAAATGTATATTTGTATGTATGTGACCACAGACACCATGCTCAGAGAGGAGAAAGTTAGAAGTCATTGTATGTATATATGTAGAAGTTAATACATATATAGATACATAGATACACACACATACACATGTACACAGTTACGTGATGACATGGAAAATTATTTTTGTAGAACATATACTATGCCTACATGCAAACCATAATGTAAAATGCAATTGAAATAATTTGCATATTTAGTCTGCTGTTAACTACAAAGAAAAATTCTTAGGAGTCTGCCATTGCTATTTAACTTTTAAACATGGTTGTGTAAGGAAAACACAATTTTAATAAATAAAACCAGTAAAATTCACAACTGGGTGATGTTTTATCACTACTGATGGGAGTTTTGAAAGCTGAGGTGATAGCAGAGGAAATAAAAAGTCTTTTTAGTCAAAGAATAACGTATCTGGTAGAGAAAGCTGCAGTATGAATCTTCTTTTGTGTTGACATATATACATGCCTATGCATCTGTAATAATAAAATAGATGCTCTCCTATGCAGTTCTGTATATCTCAGTTCTATTTTTCAAATTGGTGAATTCCGCTGCAAGAAGATTACAATGACAGTGGTTTTCTTCAAAACTGGTCAGAATATGTAAATGTGTCCTCTGTGTAAAAAGTAGAAGTCAGTAAAATATAACTTGTGCTTATTTTGTTCCTTAAGCACACCAGGAGAGTAAACTTAAAGCACAGTGTCATTAAGTGTACAAAGCTTATTTGCAGCCACATTGTTATATATTCTGAAGTTAATTGACTGTACTGACATAATGTTTTTGCCATGGCTATGGATATTAAAACAGTGTTCTTTTAAAAGTGATCATGCACAGTTTAGTCAGGATTGGCCACAAAGTAGAAATTAAGCTATTGACACCCTTGTAATTTTTCAGCTGTGCATTGTGAGTTCAAAGTAGCATGTAATAAAATTTTGAAATTCATGGATTTTATAACAATTGTTATAAATATTGCACACAATGTTGTCTTATACTAGGCATCTAATCAAGATTGCTTCTTACTATAGCAGTGAAGGAAGATTATAAGTGGATAAGTAGCTTTGCTAAATCTTTGGAACTGGACATTATTTGAGGGTACAAAGAGAAGACCAAACCTTACTAGTCAGCAGTATTTCAATTTTAAGTAAAATAAATGATTTTTAACGTTAAATATACTTCTCTTTTTCTCCTCAGGAGTATATATTAAGACAAGTGGCGTCAATGTATCTGAAGCTTGGATGGCCAACGAACAATTTAAACAAATCACTTGTTCAAGCATCATACCAACATGAGTACTGATATATTTACTTTTTAATTATTTATTTGTGAAATATAATTACATAAATGCACCCTCCTAAAATTTAATCATGTTTAGCATAAATCAGTCATAATTCCTTAGCTGGGTCACCCTTCCATTTTTTCCTTTCTGGGTTGCAGGGAGAGCAGAAAGATGCTGTGAGATTAATTAATTTTTCTTTCTTAAGTTAGGACAACATGGTTTACTAAGCCCTAACTTAATATCTGACTCCACTGGATTTCTTAGAACTTGCACCACATGTGACTGCAGAGGTTGGGAAGAGTGCCTAAGTGTAAATGGGGTCTGGTTTTGATCCATGACCTTTCTTTAATTGTTGCAGGCATTAAGCTGACACTGCGATTTGTAAAGCCAGATTCTCTTTGATATGTTGCCCAACTACTGTTTGCTGTCACTGTTATAAGAATAGTTTTTTGTAAACATTGAAACACATTTGTTAATGCAGCCTTATTGCTTTTTTTAATTTGGACAGAGAGTTGCGTCGGGAAGTCATCATGTTGGCCTGCAGCTTCGGGAACAAACACTGTCACCAGCAGGCTGCAACGTTAATCTCTGACTGGATTTCTAGCAATAGGAACCGGTAAGTGGAGCTGAAATGTGTATCTCACATTTCTCCTACTGAGAGGCAGTACAGCTCTTCCTTTCCTGCCTGCCCTGTCTGCTGTGCCCTGTTTTGCGAAGGTTTTTTTTTTACAGGAGGAAGAAGAGGCTGCTGGCTGTCATTTAAAAATGTCTGTGGGGCTTCAGAATGAATTATTTGACTTTGCATATGAGTTGGTGGAGGGGATCTGCCCACTCCTGATAAATTACTGTTGGATAATTCTGTGCTAGAAGATGAGAAGATGGGTTTTAAGGATGGATTTAAAGAAAGAAAGATGAGTGAACACCATCTTGTCAGATATTCATGAAACCTGTGTTGGGGTAAGAGAGCAGAAGGTGCTAAACATTTAAAGAAGTGAGAGAGGTTAGAGACAGAAGGTCTGAGAAGTAAGGAAGGAGATGTGTTGAAAATTAATGTAATTCAGGAATACATGGAAAAGCTCATGTAGGGTTTCAGAGAGCAGATAATATTAGAGCCAATGCCTTGAGCATCAGCAGCACTGTAGTGGTTTGACAGCAAGTATGTTAAGTTAGGCTGTCAAGACACAGGTTTATTCAGCTGAGGCAAAGGGACATGGGGCATGGATAGTGTATGAAGTTTATCTTTTAAAGGAAAGCATCTAAGAAATACAAAATAACTGAAATTTCAAATATTTAAGTGTGTAGTGATCTATGGACAATGAGATGAGTGTAGAGTATAGGTTAGGACCACAACTTCTTTAGAAAGAATAGTGGATTTTCTGATTATGTGAAATATTTGCACTGTACACATTTGTACATGGCATGATATTTTGGTTTAAAAGAGAATATTTTACTTTCAACTACAAAAGAAGAAGATAAGAGAAAAAGTCTCTCATTTTTAGTTGCAGTCTTGTATTAGCTCAGCAAAACGATCAGATCTCTGTAGCCATACAAGCAAGCAGGATTTTTCAGAGAGTTCTTGGACTTGTTGGTGTTTGTTTGCAATTAATTTATCTCTGTCTGTCTTTGTAATCTTTAAAAATCCTTTACAGGCATACCCAGTTACATATGTATCCAAGGGTGTTTTAAAACCAGCCATGAAGGGAAATTATTTTCCTGTATGGCTTTGAAACTTCTGGGAAAAAAATAGCTTGAAACTATGACTATGTAGCTTTAAGTAAGATGTGTATGAGGTGGAGGGTTTTCTTGTGTAAGGTGATACCAGATATATTTACTATGAAATACCCCAGGGTTTTATATGAATTCTTATCATAAGCAGCAACAATCGGTATGAAGCTATTCAAAGAGGCAATTAAAGAGAAAGAATCACTGGAAACAGTCTGCAAAAGTAATTTACTTAGATATTCATTTGCAAAATTAGTTAATCAAACCTAGCATTACCTATTAGCATGCACAGCAGTAGATTATTCAGTGTTAAAAAAGCTGTCACCCTGCAAAGCTACCTGCCTGTGTCTTTCCAATAGGATTAAGAAAGGAGGCATCAGAAAAGAAAAAACATAACAAAACACGAGCTTATTGCTCTGCTAACAGTAGCAAGAGAGAAAAAGAATAAATATAAGGAGCTGTCTAAAGATTCATCTTAGCCTTTCAATGGGGCCATTTTGGTAGCAGAAGATTGTGGTTGCCAGCATATGATGAGTATTATGATAAAAGCACCACAGCAGGGCAGAGGAGAATAGCTACTAAGTTAAAGCAATATGTTTCTCAAAGGAACTGCACAGTTTTGAAAAATGGCTGCAGCAGATAATATAATTACAGAATAGAGATTGACAGACAGCCGATAAATAGGGGAACAGTTGGCAAAGAAGATAGAGACACGGTCATTTATTTTTTAAGATTGTAGGATTTGTTCAGTCCCTCACTCCAGAATTCCTCAGTTTTCTCAGAGCAGTCTCACATCTTGAATGTAACTAATATATGAGCAAAACTCATTTCCTATCTACTTACATTGAAACAACATTAAAAACACTACCACTAAAGCAGCTCAGTAAGCATAAAATCAGCTTGTGTTTCACAATAACAGCATTTGCAGGGTATGTCAGCGTTGTCTCAGGAATGTTCAGATCCTGTTGAATCAGGCCTATCCTGTAGCACCTTTACTCAGTTTAAGCTAACTTGGACTGAAACCTGAAAGTAAAGCAAGGGCTCTTTTTCTGGCTTTTTTACCAAGAAACCGATGATTCCACAATCAGGACTCAATTAGCATGGTGTTTGAGTTATGCTTCTGCCTCTTCTAGCACTTCAGAGACAGTAACTAGCTCAAGTGCAAAGGGCAAGCAGATAAGTACAAGATATATGCAGAGAGCACATCTAAGAGGTGCCATTTTCTGTTCTTTCTCATCAATCAAGTGTTTTGCTTAGTTTGATGCCCTTAACAGCTGTTTGTAAATTTGCTGTAAACAGCCTCCTCAGAACCTGTAAGATTCTCTCAGAGCTTGTTTCCTCACAAAGAAGGAAAAACTCATGTTGCTCCTCTTTCTCTAGACTTCTCTGACAACAGTGAGAAAAGCTGGTGACAGGTACAGAAACTCTATGTATTCTTGCCTATTCCATTCCTTATCAACAATTACTATAAATGGTCTTGGGTTTGCCATTCCCTCTTCTGAAAAAGAACCATGTAATTGACTGATGATTACAGAAAGCTTGGTTTTGGTGGGTTTGCATAGCTAGAGCACAAAAACAGAGTTCCAGAGAGCTGAGAGATATTTTTTTATATAGATGTAATTTGAGTGTTTACTGTGACAGTAAAAATAAAGGCTAATTTGAGACATATCCACCCATCCCCTCCCAGAAACTTTATTCTGGAAGATGGCACAAGTTTTTCAAAGCAGTAGAGACAATGGAGAATTAGGTTTGTGTCTCAAGATTTATTGAAAATTGCTGAAAACTAAGTCAGTATTAAATTAAAATGTGATATTAAATACCACATAAATGCACAGCTGGTAAATCATATAAGGGAGGTTTTTGATGCCCTGGCAGTTACTGCATTAAACTCATTGAAGTTGAGATCCTATAACAGAGAATGTGCTATTAATAGAAGGAATTGCTGAAGAAATGCTAACATTCATAATTTTTTTAGCCACATTTTTAATTTATTACTTTTTAGATGTTCTGTTGAAATGTTTTTTCTGTTTTATTTGTAATATTTAACTTTGGATAAAGTGTCAGGTAGTACAATAATATCTAACTCTGTTTTACTGGCATATGTTTACAATTGCTGTTGTTTTTAGTAATTACATTTGATCTGCTAAATCCAGAAATGAATTACCATCTACTTTTCACAATAAGAAAGTGAAGTAATCATGATACCAGATACTGTTTATATTTTGTAATTATATACTCTTTACTGCACAACTACTTTGCCACTGTTCACTAAGTAAAATAATAGTCATTCTTAGCACAAGGCCAGAGGTCCTCTTTGTATTTTACCGTTTGAAAAAGCCATTAGATTTCCAACTATAGTGCTGCAAATTTTCTTCTGGAATTAGTGAAAAAAAAAAACTTATGTGTGATCTACAGCACGAGCCTCTGTGCATGAAAGTGGAAGTCGGCTGAGAGGCTGTGAAGAGTCAAATTTCTAAAGTGATTTAGGTATTGCTTCATTTCTGGATGACTGGCCCATACGGCAGAATCAGACACTCAGAGTTACGCTTCCTACTGGGGGATTTGGGGGCCTGTAAAAATGCAGCTGGCAGCAGCCACTGTGCTGTGAAGAGCCTCTTAACATGAGATTCTGAAGTGTGAGTGGGCCCTCTTGGGGTCCAGCACTACAGGTAGTAGGAAAGATACATTTATCAAATGAATACATAAATGGCAATTGTAGAGTATGGGGGTCCTTGCAAAAGATGCCTTTCCATATTGTCACTAAAGCAGGAAAAGGACTGCTCCTTTTCTTTCCCAGCCCAGCTGGCAGAGAGGCTGCTTTTCAACACCATTTCAAACAGTAGTGCTGAGGTTCCAGCAGTTTGCTGTGCTTCGGTTTAGTCCCTTGGCCCTGTATCTGCCGATGCAGAAAGCAAGCCTGATGACCTGTCTGTGAGATGTTTGGGACAGTATTAAGATGCTGCAACACACTTTCCTCCTCTAGCTTCAGCTCAGCCACTGGAATATTTTTCACTAGCAAGAGAAATGATACAGCTTTCCAGTCTAAAGATGAGAGAGCATTCATCTGAGGGAAAAGGGGCTTCAGTACCTGAAATACCAGAAATACTTAGTGTGCAAGGGGCTTTAGGTGGTATTGCTCATGGCCACTTTTTCAGGGCAAAACGCAACAGAAAAAAAAAGCATAACTGAGAAAGAAATTTGTTTGTACAAGGAGCAAACCAAACACATAGCACCAGAAACAGAAGAGACTGTGAAGAAGGACAGTCTTGTTTCGCTGGTTTAGGAATTGATATATTTTAATTCTTGCATTATGGTATTTTAATTCTATGCATTATCTTGGTCATTATTTCTTTCTACTGAAGATCTGAGGTTAGACCTCACAGTAGGTCTTGCAGTGTTCTAATCAATGAGTTTAAGTATTTTTACTCTTTTTTAAATGGTTGATTGCTTGAAGGGCTGTATTTATTTCTGACTTGATGGTGATATTAAAACAATAATTTTCACACTTTTAAATTGGGATATAGACTGCTCCTGTATTAGAACAATGGGAACCCTTGAAACTTTCATGTTGACGTTCAGAGAAATATGAACAGAGTAGAAAACATACAACCATGTGGAAATTTCCCTTGTAGTTTGAGAACGTAAAGTTAACTGGGATTCAGTCAACAGCAGAATGTTGTACAAGAGAAGCCACTGTTGGCTGAAAATAGAGATGTTTGCTTCTACCCTCATTTGACTGAGCTCATCCCTGTGAAGCTTTCATATATGAAGAAATACATTATTCACACTCCTTAGATATAACAGCACTGTGGTTCAGCCTAAAAAATTAACAAAATTACCATTCAATGCCTGCCTGAGCTTAATAATCAGCCTTGTTAACCCCTTTAACCTTCA